CTCAAGATTTTTTAAATTAAAAAAAAAAAAAATTTAGTTGTCTATTTTCTTGAGATGGGCTCTTGCTGTGTAGCCAGATTGGCTCGTACTTATGCTCCTTATCCCTCAGTTCTGAATGCTGGGATCACAAATATGTGCACCATGCATGGCTTTTTTTTTTTTTTTTTCCCTGCCCCAGCTTTTTTTGTTTTTTAAGTAACAGCTTGTTGAAATACAATGCATACCACAAAATTTACCCATTTATATAAATGAATGATCCAGCAATCTACCATCCCATTCTTTTAAAAAAAAAATTCTATGTGTATTAGTGTATTCCCTGCATGTATGTAGGTGCACCTATGTCATGCAGTGCCCATAGATGTCAGAAGAGGGCAACAGATCCCCTGGAACTGGAGTGCTAGTTGCCATGTGGGTGCTGGGAACCGAATCCAGGTCCTCTGCAAAAGCAGCCAGTGCTCCTAGTCAATGAGCCATCTCTCCAGCCCTATCATCCCATTCTTTTGTTTGTTTTTTTTAAATTTTATTTTTATTTTATGTGTGTGCATGTATTGCCTGCATGTAGATAAGTGCACCCATGTCATGCAATGCCTGCAGACATCAGAAGAGGCTGTCGAATCCCCTGGGACTGGAGTTACGGACAGTTGTTAGCTACCATGCGGGTGCTAGGATTCGAACTTGGAACTTCCAAGAACAACCAGTGTTCTTAACCGCTGAGCCATCTCCCCAGCCCCTATCATCCCATTCTTAATTGACTTTTTACTCTTAAGCCTCAAACTTGGCAGATTTCCCTCTTTCGGCAGTTGATAGTCACTGATACTTTATTTCCTCATTTCTGTTAATCTTGGGGTTAGCTGCAAGTTGAGGCTGTTTAGAAGCTAAATAGCCTGACACCTTGGACAGTGTTTATGGCCTTTGTAATTTGAAAGCAGAGCCTAGAGCCCTAGAACTGGAGCCACTAATCCATCTCTTGCCCTTCTCCATTGACCAAATGAGGAAATAAAGGCCTGGATGGCACCAGGATGCAAAAAAGTGGTTCTGTGATTGTATTGGTGGTGCTGCCCACTGGGCTCTTCTTTCCTCCTGAAGACCCACCCTGAGCACTAATGGGCACCCTCAGCATGCTGGTGTGTGAGCCAGAGGGGCTGTTGGTTAATCATGTTTGCTTTTGAAACAGGTGCAGTGAGTGCTCTAGCCAAGTTTGGAGCCCAGAACGAAGAGATGTTACCTAGTATCTTGGTGTTACTGAAGAGGTGAGTCTAGGACCATGGACCAAGGTGCGTGTCAGTGTTCTCTTGGGCCCACTCAGCTTTTCTTTGGCTTTTTTTTTTTTTTTTTTTCGGTTTTTTTGAGACAGGATCTCCCTGTAGCCACAGCTGGCCTGGAACTCACTGAGATCCCCCTGCCTCTGCCTCCCAAGTGCTGGGATTAAAGGTGCACAGTGTCATGTTGAAGTTTTTATATGGAAAATATTTACTCCTGTCTCTCATGTCTATACCTAGGAGTGGAACTTGGGGTCATATTAAGTACTTTTGGGGTTTTGTGTGTTTGTTTGAGACAGGGCCTCACAATGTAACCCTGGCTGGCCTGGAACTCACAGAGATCTGTCTTCCTCTGCTTTCTGATTGCTGGGATTAAAGGCATGTGCCACCACTCTGGGCTTCATATTAAATATTTTCTGAAACAAATTGGGATGCAGAGGATGGCCATCCTCACTGGGTGGGCTTTAAGGAAAGGGTCCAGAGAGTCTAAGTGTGTCTCCTCTGAGTTTATGACTACAATCTGCAGGGTACTTCTGCATGTTGTTCTTTTTTGGTTTCTGTTTGTCTTTGTGGTACTAGATGGCACCTAAGGCTTCTCTTTGCCAGGGAAGTTCTCTGCCACTGAGCTTCACGCTGGTCCCCTCTTGTGTTTTGGGAACTGAGCTTTCAGAACTTTAAGAGACCTGCATCATCACTCTACCACCCCCATGAAGCCCTATAGGGTCCCAGTGCCACCCCTGCTGGTTCCAGTCAGGAGTACCTTGTGTCTTGGCTGCAGGTGTGTGATGGATGATGACAACGAAGTGAGGGACCGAGCTACTTTCTATCTGAACGTCCTAGAGCAGAAGCAAAAGGCTCTCAATGCAGGATATATCCTAAATGGTAAGTCTTACCCCAGCTATCCATGGCCTAGGACTTTCTTGGAGCTTTGGCCCTTCTTGTGGCCTCAGAACAGGTGTTCTCTTCCCTGGGCTAGGAAATTCAAGACCACATACTCTTAGCTGGACTTGTGTAGCAACTTCATGGAATTGCTGTGATCAAGAAGACCAGAGTCATGTAGCTCTACCCCATGCCTACATAAATAGCCCAGTAAATTAAAGTGCTCTTTGTATGTGTTTGTTATTCTGGGTTTAACCCAGGGCCTCAGACATGCTTGGCAAGTATAGTACCTACCTCTGTGCTGTATCCTCGGTCCAAAACTTTTGTTGTTGTTTTGAGATAGTGTCTCACTATATAGCCTAGGCTGACCTGGTGTTTGTGTCAATCCTCATGGCTCAAAGTCCATAGTGTAAAACATTCGTTATTGGGCTGTAGAGATGATTCAGCAGTTAAGAGCACTGGCTACTCTTGTGGGTTTGGTTCCCAGCACTGACATGGCAGCTAACAGTCATCCCTAACTCCAGTTCCAGGGGATCTAATGCCCTCTTCTAGCCTCTGTGGACATTGCATGACATGCTGTACTTACATTACATGCAACCAGAACACTCATACACATAAATAAAGGTTAAAAAATTTTAAAACAAAAACTCACAAATAAAAATTTATGCCAGGTATGGTGGTATACACCTTTAATTCTAGCTCTTGGGGGGGCAGATAAATGTGGGTCTCTGGGAGTTTGAGGTCAGCCAAGTCTACATAGTAAGATCCTGTCTTAAAAATGTTTTAAATATTTATTATTATTATTTTGTTTGTATGAGTGTATTGCCTGCATGTTTGTAAGTGCACCCATGTCATACAGTGCCTGTGGAGGTCAGAAGAGAGCATTGGATTCCCCTGGAACTAGAGTTACAGATGGTTGTTAGGTGCCATGTGGGTGCTGGGAATTGAACCCAGGTTCTCTGCAGGAGCAGCCAGTACTCTTTAACTGCTGAGCTCTCTCTCTAGCCCCTATATATTTATTTTATGTATATGAGTGTTTTACCTGCATGTATATAAGTATACCCATGTCATGCAATGTCTGCAGAGACCAGAAGAGGGCATTGGATCCCCTGGAACTGGTTATTAGCCACCATGTAGATTCTGGAAACAGAACCTGGATCCTCTATGAGAGCAGCCAGCCAGTGCTCTTAACCACTGAGCAATCTCTGTAGCCCCTAGAATAATTAATTAACTAATTAATCAGTCAATTAAAACTTCTGTTTTCATGGTCATTTATAAGGTGCTTTGTATTTGTTTATCTACACACCAACCTTGTGGAAAGGAGGATGAGGGTGAGAAAGCAAGGCTCTGAAGGGTACATGATTTTCTCAGAATCAGTACATTTAGCATTCATAGTGAGGGACTTGGGGCCTCCATCCTCCCTGGGGGTTCCCTACATATCTGTCTTGCCAGCCAGGCAGACTGACCTCTCCATTGGTTCTAGGTCTGACTGTGTCCATCCCTGGTCTGGAGAGGGCCCTACAGCAGTACACACTAGAACCATCAGAAAAGCCGTTTGACCTCAAGTCTGTGCCTTTGGCTACCACGCCTATGGCAGAGCAGAGAACAGGTAAGGTCCTGCTCCTCCCAAGTCCCTTGTGTCTACCTTGTTTGCAGAGCCCCTAAGTGGATCAGGATGGGTGTGGTATGCTGAGAAGAGAAAGTAACCTTTGCTACCTCTGGCTTCAGACAGTTGGAGGCATCTGGGCTATGACAAGCTTGCTCTTTTCCTCACATGCTTCTTTCTTGGGAGGGTTGGTATTTATAATGTCTGAGTTATAGCATGGAGTCATCAGTACCTTGCTGCCTGTGACTGGAACTGTGGGTCAGTAGGTATGCTTACTCTTACAGACAGTACACCTACCACAACAGTGAAACAGCCTGAGAAAGTGGCAGCCACTCGGCAGGAGATTTTCCAGGGTGAGTAACAGTGTCATGTCAACAGTGTGGTGAAAGGTTATATGCCTTCAGAGCCTACTAGTTACTGATCGCATGGGACCAAGGCACCATATCTGTGATTAAGAATAAGAACCTCAGCTGGATGTGGTAGTGCACACCTTTAATCCCAGCACTTGGAAGGCAATGGCAGACAGATCTCTGTAAGTTCAAGGCTAGCCTGGTTTACATAGTGAGTGCCAGGACAGCCAAAGCTCATAGTGAGACCTGTCTCAAAATAAAACAAAAAAGCAAAAGAACTTCAGAAGGGGGGTGCAGTTCAATGGTAGAGCACCTGCCTATCATGTGAGACCCTGGGTTCTAACCCCAGTACTGCAAATTCTACAAAAGAGCAAGAGTGTATTGGTTCTCCTCAGTGTCAGGTTTCTGAGAACACTGTAGGCCCCTTTCACATTTGGGCATGATAGCACTTGCCTATAATCTCAAGACTTTGCAAGCTGAGGCAGAGGATCAAAAACTTGTAGCTAGCCTGGGTTATAGAATTAGACCCTTCAAAATTGAAGTGGCTCTTCATTGGCCACTTGTCTTAACTGGCCTGTATAAGACCGGTGTGTTTGTCATCTGATTTTATAACTATAACATTATGTACTTTATCCTTGTGGTCTTTCTAATCTCTACTTTCTAAGAATCCTCCTGGGGTATGGTGACTCATGCTTTTAATCACAGCACTATTGAGGCAGAGGTAAGCAGGTCTCTGTGAGTCTCAGTCCAGCCTAGTCTACATAGTGATACCCTGTCTCAAAAAAAAAATAGCACTGCTGACTTTCCAAAGGTGAGGGTCTCCAAATAGGATTAGATCTGGGACATGAGGTCTCACACTTGGTTAATTGCTTTTGAGGTTTTATATAAGACAGAGTTTTCCTGGAAGGTAGTAACCTGAACCAATCAGAGCTGAGAACACATGCAGATATACTAAGGAAGCAGTGAGCAGCCAGTTGCATATGCACATGAATCCCTCTCAGGGAGGGTGTGAGGCCTGGGGGTTTACTAGAAGCCATTACGGGTTGGTGTAAGGATCCAGAAACTAAATGAATGTGGCCTATGGGTTTCAGAGCAGTTAGCAGCCGTGCCAGAGTTCCAGGGGCTAGGGCCCCTCTTCAAGTCTTCACCTGAGCCAGTGGCCCTCACGGAATCAGAGACAGAGTATGTCATCCGTTGCACCAAACATACCTTCACTGACCACATGGTGTTTCAGGTGAGCAGGATGGCTTGAGCCCCAGCATGTACCTAGGAGCAGTCCTGGGTCTGATGGGTCCTGTGGAGCCTGACAACCTCATACCAAGTTTGTTTGGGCACAATTTAATGATAGTATCTGTCACCAGCAGGTATATCTCATGCCTTTTTTCTCAGGACTTCTCTAACTCCTGAGTATCAGCCAGCAAGGGGCTGAGGTGGGAGGCTAGCACAGGGTGGGGGCCTCCTGACTTCCTTTGCAGCAGTATCTGAACCCCATTCATCCTCATCCAGTTTGACTGCACAAATACTCTCAATGACCAGACCCTGGAGAATGTCACAGTGCAGATGGAGCCCACTGAGGCCTATGAGGTGCTGTGCTATGTGCCTGCCCGGAGCCTGCCCTACAACCAGCCTGGGACCTGCTATACACTGGTGGCTTTACCCAAGGAAGACCCCACAGCTGGTGAGCCTTCTCTAGAGAACACCCAGGCCTCATGGGAAATGGGGTGAAGCTGGCACAAGCAACTCCTTGATTTGGTCATGAGAAGAATTGCTCAGGCCCAAGTGCTTTTCATATATCACCGTATTTTACCTCATAGTAAATTTATGAGGATAAGTACTAGCTCCCTATTCATAGATGGGAACGCTGAGGCTCAGGTTGTGTGGGCTGTCTTCAGTTCAGAATCAAGGTTCGTGCTGTCCTCAGACCAGTCAGTATTTCACAATTGCTCAAAGTCTCTCAAAGACGAGCACAAGCACCTACACATCTCACATTCATTCCTCCAGTGAAACCACCAACTTCTTTTCCTACCCTGGACAATGGCCTGCGGCTGTGACATGGTCTGAGCCATATTGCGTTGTCTCTGCTTTCTGCATCCTTTTCCTTGGACCCATGACTTGATAGTCCAGTCCTTTGAGGTGGTGCCCTCTCTGTCCAGCTGCTGGAGTTGGTGGCATAAAGCTGCTACTGATACCACCGAGAAGGCAGGCTGTGACCACCTGACATGGAGAAGCTCGTTCTCCATCCAGCCCTTCTCCCCCACAGTGGCCTGCACATTCAGCTGTATGATGAAGTTCACCGTCAAAGACTGCGACCCCACCACGGGAGAGACTGATGAAGAAGGCTACGAGGACGAGTATGTGGTAAGGAAGTAGTGTCGGGGGCTTATTTTATTACCAAGACTACGGAGCAGACTGATCCTAGTCTTGCTCTTTAAGAGAATTATTTTAACTTCAAAAAGGTACATGTAGGGGCTGGAGAGATGACTCAGCAATTAAGAGCACTGGTTGCTCTTGCAGAGGACCCAGGTTTGATTTCCAGTACCCACACAGCAGCTAACAACTGTCCTACCTCCAATCCTAGGGGATCCGATGTCCTCTTCTGACTTCCACAAGTATCACATGACACAGGTGCACTTACATACATGAAAGCAATATATTTCATACACATAAAAATAAAATATTTTTAAAAGTGAATTTAAAAAGAAAACCTGGGAAATAACATAGTATAAACAGGAAAATGTCCATAATCTTTAGGTGTTCTGTGGGATCACATAACTGAGGCCATCTTTGTGTTACAGATCTTGCTGTTTTCACTTAAAACCATAGTGTTTCATCCCCTCTCATGACCAATACTTCAGAAATACTTTCATGGGGTATACTAGGAATGGGACCCAGGACATCACAAACACTAAACACTCTACCACTGAGCCCTTCTGTAGTCCCAGCCCACTTTACTATCTTGACTGTATCCATTCTACATGGAATCCTATTTGACCTTTCAGTCCTTTAATGTTGGGAATTTGGTTTCCACATTTTCACTGCCGTTTGTAATGCTACATTAGATATTCCTTTGGATATAAGTTTTTATCTGCATTTCAGATTATTTCCTTAGGATAAATTCCTAGGAGGGTAATCAGATCAAAAGAAAAGCATGATTTTAAAACTTCAGTTACTGTTGTTAAATTGCTTTCTAGATGCATTGAGCCCCTTTGCTCTGCTGGACCATCCTTTATGCACTGAAATAGCCTTTTCAGTCCTTCTTTCCAAGGTTAGATGGAATTGAGTACCAGGAAAGGGGGGGGGGAGTACTCAGTGCCATCCAGAATAGACCATTATGTTTAGCCTGGGGACAGGGATTGTCAGGGCTCCTCAGTCACTGGAATGCATCTGACATTCACTCTTGTTTTGTGCCAGGGCCATAGTAGAAAAATGGCCGCCATTGAGCCAAAATGACTTCAGTAGGAACTACCTTATGACTTTGCTCCTCCACAAAGCTATAGCTGAAGTACTCTTTCCACTATAGTAATGGAATTTTGGCCCTGTGCACCTTAAATACCTGTAAGATCAGAGCTTCCATGAAAATCTGTTTCGAGAATGAATGAGGGGCCTTCATATAGACACAGTCAGTTCAAGGAAGTCAAATGGGTGTATTAAATATCAAGTTCACAGCTGAGATGGCGGGGGCGGTTCTTGCCTCTGTCAGGCACAGAGGTCACACAGCTAGGGTACAGAATCTGCTAAAGAAGAAATGGCTGCTACATATTGAAGGAATACCACTTACAGTAAGTAGCTCCTGTTGAGTCTCCACATGACTTGCTGTGTGTCCTGGAGCCTACTGTGTCCACAGCCCTGGTGGGCATCTGCTGAGAGAGCTGCAGGAAGGAAGGGGTTAAATGGATGAACAGAGCAGAGGCCTAGAATTGTGCAGAGCAAGGAGTCTTCCTCAGAGTCCAGCTTCTATCTCCATTTCTCCAGCTGGAGGATCTAGAAGTTACTGTGGCTGACCACATTCAAAAAGTCATGAAAGTAAACTTTGAAGCAGCCTGGGATGAGGTCGGGGATGAGTTTGAGAAGGAAGAAACATTCACCCTGTCTTCCATCAAGACACTTGAAGGTAAAGTCCGGGTGACACCATCTCTGGCCTGGCTGCCTTTCAGAACCCTTGGCTAGAGCTGGCTGGTGCACCTCCCCCTTCCCCACCAGGATCCAGAGCCATATCTGGAATACATATGCCTAGTGCTTATGGTACAGAAAGAGGTATGGCTTGGTGATGCAGCTTAGTGGGAAAGTGCATAATTTGTGTGAGACCCAGGGTTTGACCAGTACCCAAGATAATAAACACATATACATACTTTTACATATGGCTTAATGTTGCTGATATTTCTCCCCTACAGAGGCTGTGGGCAATATTGTGAAGTTCTTGGGAATGCATCCTTGTGAGAGGTCAGACAAAGTGCCAGAAAACAAGAATACTCACACATTGCTCCTGGCCGGTAAGCAGCATCTTCAGTGAGGAGGGCCTGGGTTCCTTTTCTAGTGGGAATGCCACTGGGTCTGGCCTGCCCCCATCCTCCAGGCCTGTGTGCTCTTAACTGTCCCAGTTGGGGCCTGTCAGTTATTTTTTGTTAGGGCTTCCATAAGGGTATAGCCTGGATTCTCAGCTCTGCATTTCCCCTATAGCTGATTTCTTAAAGCAGACACATCTGAAAGCTGACAGGTCCGTGATCTAACACTGAGGATCCAAATGTCATCTCCCCAGCCTCCCCCAGCCCATGTGGTTTTAATGTACATTTTTGTATTTTGAGGGAAATTAATTACCTCCCATTTATATTTCCTTTTTACTTTTTAAAAAATTTTTATTTTGTGTGCGAGTATTGAGCCTGCATGTATGTAAGTGCACCCATGTTGTGCAGTGCCCATGGAGGTCAGAAGAGGGCATCAGATCCCCTGGAACTGGAGTTATTAATGATTGTTAGCCGCTATGTAGATACTGGGATTCAAACCCAGGTCCTCTGCAAGAGCGGCAGTACTCTTAACCACTGAGCTATCTCTCCAGCCCCTATATTTCCTTTTTTGACATGTCTGATTTTCCTTGGTCTGTCAGCTATACTGATGAGTTTTTGTTTCTTTTTGTTTCTGTTTTAACAAGAATGGGTATGTAGGGTTGGGCCTAACAACTCACACCTGTAATCTGAGCATTTGAGAGGCAGGGGCAAAAATTTATGCAAGTTCAAGGCCAAGGGCTACATACTGAGACTCAGTCTCCACAAAACAAAAGAATGTCCATTTGGGAGCTGGAGAGATGGCTCAGTGGTTAAGAACATTGACTGTTCTTGCAGAAGACCCGGGTTCAAATCCCAGCATCCATATGGCAGCTAACAACTGTCCTTAACTCCAGTTCCAGGGGATCCAGTAGCTTCTGTCCTCCTTGGGCATTGCATGACACAGGTGCATTGCCTACATGCAGGCAATACACACATACACATAAAATAAAAATAAATATTTTTTTAAAAAAGAATGGAGGCTAGAGAGATGGCTCAGTGGTTAAGAACACTGAAGACCTGGGTTCGAATCCCAGCACTCACATGGCAGCTATCAACTGTCCATAACTCCAGTCCCAGGGATCTCTGACATCCTCTTCTGACTTCCGCAGGCATTGCACAACACGGGTGCACTTACCTACATGCAGGCAATACAGACATACACATAAAATAAAAAATAAATAATAAAATTAACAAAAAAATAAAAGAATGGCCATTTAAGCATTCCATTTTAGAAATGCTTATGCACATACAGACTAGTGCTTATAAGAATCCTATATGCTACTCTTGCCACACTCTTCTGCTAGAGTGTTTTCATACAGATTCTTTGTGTAATTCATATGTAAATGCTTTATCATGTCTCTGTAAGAGATAATAACCAGAGCTGGAGAGAAGGCTCAGCCTTTAAGAGCAGTTGGTGCTGTTTCTGAGTTCAGATCCCAATACCCACATCAGGTGGCTCACAGCTTCCTGTAACTCCAGCTCCAGGGGAATCTGACATCCTCTTCTGGCCTTTGTAGACACTCATACCAAACATAGTGTCACATATATACACATAAATAAAAATAAGCTGGGAGTAGTGGTGCACATCTTTAATCCCAACACTCTGGAGGCAGAAGCAGGTGGATCTCTCAGAGTAACTGGGGCTACAGGAATACCCTGTCTCAAATAAATAAAACTAATGACTCTTAGAAACAATTCTTTTTTAATTTTTTTTTTTTTTTTTTTTTTTTGGTCTTTTCGAGACAGGGTCTCCCTGTAGCCCCAGCTGTCCTGGAACTCACTATGTAGACCAGGCTGGCCTTAAGAGGCTGACCTGCCTCTGCCTCACGAGTGCTGGGACTAAAGGTGTGTGCCACCATACCCGACACAAACAAATAGAACCTATGTTTGACACAAAAAGGGCAAAACAGTTGTTTTGCTCAAGACAATTAGCAAAAAGAAATGCATCTGGGATGAAACTCAGTGGTTGAGGCTCCTGTGCACCATAGAGTCTCAAGCCACCTTGACCTTACAAGTAATCCTCTTGCCTCAGCCTTCCATGAACCATATCACTGCCCCACCCCCCAAGGCTGATGAACAAACCCAGTGCCTCTTGTCTGCTGGGCAAGTGTTCTAACATTGAGCCACACCCATGGCCTAGGCCTGGGAGTTTTTTAACTTGGTTGTGTTTATAAACAGGGTTAAGAGGATGTTCTGCTTCAATGAGTACTCACAGCTGTGATCTTGCAGGCCCATCCTTTCTGGTCATATTAAAGAAGCTCAGTCCCCTGGGTCTTTCAGACACCTGCTTTGTGGTTTTCCCTTACTGGGGCTCTCCCCTTCATTAGTACTCTCAGACTTACCCAGCACTTGTGAGCCTCTGACTGGAGGTACAAGCCTTACATAACCATGAGTTCTTTTGCACTTGGCAGATGCCTGAAGTAGTTAGCATTCTTACTTCTTCCACTTTCTTAATGGTTCCAGAGTTTAGAGAGGTGAGAATTGACTAGGCCTCCTGACTATACTGGTACAAGGGCTGCCTTGATGAGTTGCTGCAGATGTTGCCTTCAGTACAGCCTCCTGCCTCACACTGCTATACTTCTCTCTTCCAGGTGTGTTCCGGGGTGGTCGTGACATCCTTGTGCGCTCCCGGCTGCTGCTTTTAGACACAGTGACAATGCAGGTGACAGCCAGAAGCTCAGAGGAGCTGCCAGTAGACATCATCTTGGCATCCGTGGGCTAAAGGCCCAGCAGCCCTACTCCTACCTTCTCCCAACACTACGAAGAAGTTGCTCCTTTTCCATGAAACTGGTGGAAACCCTTCCACCATGCCTCTATATTCAGAAGCATTCAGGAATCAATGCAGATTTTTTTTTTTTTTTTAATTCTACCCTATTTATCAGCCAGGACTGCTAGGTTAGATCTTGCCACCCTGCCTGCAAGAGGAATCACAAATGAATAAAATATTCAGACTTTCTCTTCTGTTTATCCCTAACAAAACTCTCTTATCCCTGTAGTAAATTAGCATGTATTTCTTGAACAATTGCTGCTTCTGCAGGCTCATGCCCAGGGCCTCTACCTCCCCTTGAGGCCTTCCTCCACCAAGTAGAGCACTTGCCTTCTTGGGGCTGTGCCAATGTCAAGTTTAGGACAGAGGTTATCCCTTTATCAGGCTTGCTGAGTCAGAACAACAGGTCTAATGAGCTGCTCACCTTCAGGCATTTATATAGATGGATGGGTGCTCCTAAGGGCTGAAGTCCTTCACCAGATGTTGCCTGGCATCAGCTCTGGAGTGGAGAATGTCCAGGGTTTCTGCTCTGGGTCAGTCCCTGAGTGGGAAGAATAGTCTCTGTGTTCCCTTTTGGAATAAGAAATCCCAGGGTATATCTCAAGATTAATGGGCTTTTAAACTCAAGTCAGGTAGTGGGCCTCCAGTGAGGCGGCTGAGATGGCTCAGCTGGTGAACAGACTTGTCAACTAGACTTACTACCTGACCCACATGGTAGAAGAAGAGCCAACTCCCAAAAGTTGTCCTTTGACCTCCACATGTACTCCTGATACTTGCGCATGCCTACACACATGTGCATGTTAGAACACAGGCCTGCACCGTTAGGCCAAATCCCACAACCTGAAGATAGCAGGCCATAACCTCCCTGCAGCTCTCTCTAGGAAAGAGTTAAGCTGTCTATGCTGTGGCCTAACAGCAGCCCCTGATTTATGGTACTAATTGGCTCCTCCATGTGCTTTGTTGTGCATGCTATGTTGAAGTTAATGTGATGTGAAACTTCCTGTCGCCTCTAAAAGGTGATTTCGCTTGTGTTTGAGGGGTCCAGAGATGCCTCATGGGAATATAATAAGGGAAGGCTGCTCTCTGAGGAGGCTCCTCTGGTCTCCACCCAACCCTGGTCCTTCTTATTCTCTCCCTCCCCTTAAGGCCCCCAACACGTTTAGATCTCTATGTATTGTATTCTTTCTGTCTAATGCTTTCTAACCACCTGTAGGCCCAGCCATTGCCTTGAGGCTCCTTTCATTCTAATAAAGCTCATTGAAGAGAATATGTCAGTCTCCTTTTCCTGACCAAGCACTTCTGCTGATCTTGTTTTAATAGTACACACCAAAAGCAAAAAAAAAAAAAAAAAAAAATTAGTGATTTTTAAAAATATTTTTACTTTGCATGTATGAGTATTGTTTGCATGTGTGTAAGTGCAGCCATGTCGTGCAATGCCGGCGGGAGGTCAGAAAAGGGCGTCGTATTCCCTGGAACCGGTTATGGATGGTAGTTAGATGCCGAGTGGGAGCTGGGAAATGAACCCAAGGTCCTCTGCAAGAGCAGCCAGTGCTCTTAGCCGCTGAAGGCAGCTCTCCAGCCCCTAAGCTAGTAAGTTTTGAGTGGGCTTCCTTGACCCTTAGAGATTCCTCTATGGAGGACGAGGACGTCTCATTCTAGTAGTCATCCACGTTTGAGGGTGACCAGCGAGTCCTGGAAGTCTCCCTTTCAACCCACACTGAGGCAATTAGAACGAAGCACAGACTGGTTTCCTGATTTCAGGTCCTGACCTGGGAAGGAAGGGCAACATGGGGTCTTGGCGTGCTTAAGGCTCAGCGGGCTTTTTATTTTGTTTTGATTTTTTTGGTGATTGGAACCGAGTGCTCGCAGGAACCCTCGTCCATCCTTCTCCAACTTTCAGAAAAGTCTGTGCGGTGGGTGGTGGAGAGGAAGCTGGCGCACCCTTTGCTGGGGGCGGGGCCTTCCCGGGGCCGGGCCCTTCCGGGGCCGGCGTAACGGGCGGCCAGCTGGGACGTGGTGAGTGACTAGTGAGACAACCTCCGTCGCGAGCGGAAAAGTGGACGCGGCCCACAGGCGGTGAGGAGACGCGGGCGCGGGGAGGACGCGGGAGAGCGCAGGACCGGCCCAAATTCTTGGCCCCTGCAGCCCTGCGACCCGGCCTTTCCGCAGAGCCGATGGGGGGTGGGAGGGTGAAAGCTAATCCCTGCAGGTTTGCGAACGGACTGGGGCCTGGCGGTGGCCCTATCCCTCCTACGGGGCGACTGTGCAGACAGTGGGCTGGAGGGTCGTGTGGGAGCCCGTGAGGACGCTAGGACCCGGCATCTGTAGGTAATGTGGTGCTTATGTTCTGTTACGTGGCAGGCGGTGAGAAGCGGCGCTGCAGAATGTGTGGGCGAACCTCCTGTCACCTGCCTAGGGATGTTCTCACCAGGGCCTGTGCCTATCGGGATCGGCAGGGCAGGCAGCGGCTCCCACAGTGGAGGGACCCTGAGAAGTACTGCCCCTCCTACAACAAGAGCCCGCAGTCCAGCAGCCCGGTGCTGCTCTCCCGAATGCACTTTGAGAAGGTAACCGATTTTAGGAGCTCTGAACTAGTTTCTGGCTCAGCATTATGGGGACCCTGTAACTCCTGTTTTCTGATGTCTGCCTGGCCCCCAGAATGCCCTTAAAAGCAGTCTTATGTTATTCCCTAGTTGAAACCCACTCTGGGTCTCTCTGAGGAGTAAGTACTTCGCTTTTCTTCAGTCTCAATTTAACTGCTTTAATTAGCATTCTCAATTTATATGACCCTTGTATTTGAATACATTTTTTAATCACTTAAAAATTTTTTCCAGCGGGGTGTGGTGGTGCCCACCTTTAATCCCAGCACTCCAGAGGCAGAGGTAGGCCAGCCTGGTCTACATAGTGTGTTCCAGTACAGCTGGGGCTACAGGGAGACTCTGTCTCAAAAAAAAGACCAAAAAAAATTTTTTTTTCCATTGGGACAGGGTCTCATTACCTAGCTCTGGCTGTCCTGTAACTCACTAGATAGGCCAGGTTTTAATTACATGAATGTGTATGTGTCCACATATGGATATTAGCATGTGAGTACAGGTGCTTGGGGAGGTTGCAGCATTAGTTCCCTTGGAGCTGGAGTTACAGATAGCTGTGAGTGGCCTGATGTGAGTGCTGGGAACCAAACTCTGGTCCTCTATTAAGAGAAGCACACACTCTTAACTGCTGAGCCATCTCCCCAGCCCCTGATTTTTAAGATTTATTTATTTTTGTTTTATGTGTATATTTTGCCTGCTTTCATCTATGTACATTATATGCATACCCAGTGCCAATGGAGGCCAGAAAAGGGCATTGTATCCCCTGGAACTGGAGTAACAGATGGTTGTGAACCACCATGTGTGTACTGGGCCCCCGACCCCAGTCCAGTATAAGAGCAGTAAGCACTCTTAACCACTGAGCCATCACTTCAGTCCCATGTCTGATTTTTTTTTTTTTTAAGACAGGGTTTCCTGGCTGATGTGGAACTTCCTATGTAGACCAGGTTGGCCTTGCTGGAACTCACAAAGATCCATCTGCTTCTGCCTTCTGAGTGCTTGGATTAAAGGCATTGAAACACCACATCTGGCTCCATATCTGATACTTTTTAAACAGAAAAGTTTCTATTTTTCTGCTTTTGTTTTCAATTGGTTTTGTTTGTCTTCTGGAGTTTAATTTTATTTGTTTTATTTGTAAGATTTTTCCCTATAGGAGCTGGAGAGATGGCTTAGTGATGGAAAGCACTGACTACTCTTGCAGAGACCCCAGGTTTAGTTCCCAGCATCTACATGGTAGATCACAACCACCATTAACTCCAGTTCCAGGGATCCAGTGCTCTTGCTCTCTCTCTCTCTCTCTCTCTCGCTCTCTGTCTCTCTCTCTCTTTTTTTTTTTTTTTTTTTTTTTCTCTCTCTCTCTCTCTCTCTCTCTCTCTCTCTCTCTCTCTCTCTCTCTCTCTTGCTCTTGCTGCTTGCTATGTAGACCAGGCTGGCCTCAAAGTCACAGAGATCTGCCTGCCTCTGCCTCCCAAGTGCTGGAACTAAAAGCATGTGCCACCACACCCTGCTCAATGTCCTCTTTTGGCCTCTGTGGGCATGGCATGCTCAGGTGCATATACATGCAGGGACAACACTTCATATACATAAAAATAAATTAATTTTAAAAAAAGATTTTTCCCTATAGTGTTGGAGGAATCAATCATTTATAACCATGTTTTAGTTCTTTGTGTTGTCTCCTATTCCAGAGAGTACTTTCTCCATGCCTTAAATATTTTAAATGCTCTTGATTTGTTTCTTAGAATTGTGTTGGGGAGCAGGCAAAATGGCTCAGTGGATAAGGGCACTTGCTGACAATCTTCATAACTTGAGTTTGATTCCCAGAACCCACATGGTAGAAAGAAAGAATTGACTCCTCAAGTTGTCCTCTGGTCTCCACACTCACTCTGTAGCATGTTTGTACCCACATATATATATATATAAATGTCAAAAAAAATTGTCAATGTGATTGGGGCTGGTGATGTTGCCCAGTGATAGGGAGCATTCTTGGTGTGCTCAAACCTTAGGTTCAGTCCTAGCACTAAAAAAAACAAAAAAAAACTTAGTTTTTTGAGACAGTCTTAGTATGTAACCCAGAGATCACATATTGAAATAACTTTTTCGCTAGAGATAGAACCCAGGGCCTCGTATGACTAAACTACAACCCAAACTCTTTTTTTCTGTTCAGTTAAGCTATTCACATTCACATGAAATGGTTTATTCTTGAGTCCCTTATTTAGAAACTATATACTTCCCTATTGAAACTTTGTGTTGGGGAAGTGGGGGTGTAAGTGCATGCATGCTTGTGTGTGCACATGTGTGTATGTGTGTGAAAACCAGAAATCAACCAGGGAGAGCCAGGTATGGTGTTGCACACCTTTTGTCCCAGGACTGGAGAGGCAGAATCTCCGTGAAATTGAGACCAGCCTGGTGGTCTACATAGCAAGTCCAGACCAACTGGGGCTATGAGGAACCTGTCTCAGAAGAGAAAGGAAGGAAGGGAGGGGGAAAGAGAAAAAGCAAGCAAGCTAGGTATCCATTCCTCTGGTACCATATGGTTTTGGGTTTGCTTTGGTTTGGTTTGGTTTTGGTTTTTTGACACAGTGTCTCCCTGTAGCCCCAACTGGCCTGGAAGTTGCTATGTAGACCAGGCTGACCTTGACCTCACAGAGATCTGCCTCTCCTTGGTCTCTGTTTCCCCAGTGCTGGGATTACAAATACTAACATTTTTTAACATGGGTTCTGGGGATTGAGCTCAGGTCCTCATGCTTACAACAGCAAGTACTTTACCAATTTAGGTCTGAAACTTTTTTTAAAAATATATTTTATTGGGTTGGGGATTTAGCTCAGTGGTAGAGCACTTGCCTAGCAAGCACAAGGCCCTGGGTTTGGTCCTCAGCTCAGGATAAAA